TTTCAATTCTACAAAAAACACATGTGACCTGATGTGATCTTAAGATATAAACAAGCATTTGGTATACTTTAGGCTCTGGGGTACCAAGTAGTCTTGCTTTTCTGGTAGTTAGGCCTAGACCAAATTTGTGATCCATTCAGTAAGCTCTATCTTGTTCATTGTCAGAACTAGCACTTCACTGGAAGTAATAGTATATTAATGTTATCTAGGGACATCTTGTTACTGTTTTGTAGATCATCTTTTCACTTTCTTCTTATTTGAATAAATTATGTTGTTCTCCCCCAATTATTATTTCACCTATTTCCCAGACACTGTACAAGTTTTGCTTTTCAGAAATACATTTTACATGTTGAGCAATGTAGAATTTCCTTTGAAACTGTTCTTTTTCTTTAGGCAATTTGGAAAAATGTGGAAGAATTAGTTTTGTATTCTGCTTTTTAGAGTTTGCTTTTGATCAATTTTACAATGTCCTCTCTAGATACACATGTTACAGACTAATGCAGTCATTTTGACTTCTCAAAGCCCCTTCTAACTCTAACTGTTCCATTTAATTTTACTTTAGTATTCTGTTTTTTATTACATAGTCATGTATACTAGATAAAAATCTAAAAAACTTTTTTCTCCACTTGTAATGACAAATTAATTTTTTTTTCCTCATTGAGTTTATTGGTACATTTTAGGTGTACAGTACAGTTACATTCATCATTGAGATCTTGTACCTTTACACAACCGGTCTTGGTTCTCATTTTTTCCCCTTAACCCTGCCCTCCCTTCACCCTCTCCTCCCTTCCTGTAATTTTGTATATCTCCTTTTAATTTTTTAAATCAAAACATTTTCTTGACAAATGTCAATGAGTTGGCAGTTTTCTCATGAAAGGTATTTCACGTTTGCAAATTGGAACTTGGAGTCAGGCACTGGTACCAAGTTAGACTGTGAGTCACTACCATGATTGCATAGGACAGGATAAAGATGCTGGGGAGAGCCAAGCTGCCTGGAGGATAGGCTTATGCTAATCAGCAGCCATCCTAACCTTAACCTTTCTTCTAAGAGGAAGTCACCTTGCCACTGTCACCTGAATTTTGACCCAGTGCCCAAGAATCAGGGGTTGATCAAGTAAAGACTTTGGTTTGTGTTACATGTTAAGCACCTTGACTTCCTTGCTGATGCTGAGGTCACACGGCAGAAATCTAAGCTTCTTTGTGCTGAGTCGGGCGACTACTGCAAATCTGTTACCTTCCATGTATCCATTAGTTCTACTTATCCACATTTGCATGCATTAACCCTTCATACGATGCCAAAAGAAGGAAAGTTTTCATTGATGACTATTAAGGGAGTCTTGTTTTGTATACATATAATCAATTTTTATATCCATCAGCACATTACAGCAGACTAGAAGCTTCTTGTCCCCCTTCCATGTGTAGTTTTCCTCTTTTTGTATCTGGGAATTAGGGTTTGTAGACCAGTCCTAGTTGGCTATAATGTCATATCTTGAACAAACTGTATCTCTTGTCACTAAAGTACTAATTTAGTACTGCTACATAATGTATGTGCATGCACATGTATGTTCTATTTCCTTTTCTTAGGTTATAAAAATGATTTATATTAATTTTGACAACTTATGAAATATAAAGAAGAAAAAGCCTTTTTATAATCTCCCTTTCTATAACAGTCGATTAATATTATGCATATTATATTTTATATAGCTGAAATCAGGCTATGTATGAGTTTTCATTTATTTTTAAAATACTCACTTTCTCATGATATTAACTCTTCATATATTAGAAAAAGTTGACTCCAACAGGACAATCATATTTTTGAGAGTATATTGAGTCATGAAATTACAGTTTTATTTTATTCATTTATTGAAATTTTAGGGCTGGGGATTTAGCTCAGTGGTTCCACTGCCTGCCTTGCAAGCACAAGGTCCCAAGTTTGACCCCTGATACCAAAAAAAAAGAAGCCTGTTCTGTGTAGGGCCCAGTGCCACCATTTATTGAAATTTTTAGAATGTAAATGAAAATTATTATGCTATAGCTAATAGAGTAGTAATTAGTCATATAAACTTCCTGTAAATAAAGCAATTAAATATTTGCCTATAAAATATATTTGCATAACCACTAAATTATCACTGAATGGCAGCTAAATTTCTGTTTTGTCCTAAATATGGAACAGTATTTGTTAATCTTTTGTAGGTCACCAGGCCTCTGAGAATTCAGTAAAAGCTATGAATCTTCTTTGCAGAGAAATGTATATTCAGACAAAAGAGCCTAATTGTAATGATAATCAGTTATAATATGTCAGGCATTCTGCCAACAGCTTTACATGTGTTATTTCATTTAATCCTTATCACTACACTATAAGTAATGCTCTTTTATTATCCTAAATTTTGCATTAAAGATATTGAAGCATAAGGAAATTTAATTTATTTTATGTAAACCTAGAAAACTATTAACTGGAACTGATTGATATAACTCCCAAAATTTATCTTCTTAAAATCATGTTCATGTAATTTTAAGGAGCTCGTCAATTCCAGAAGACCTCTGATTGATACTCAAATTAAGAGTCCCTTATCCATAGCAATCCAGAAATTTTCATTAGCAGTAACAAGTATATTCAGTTAATGAATCTTACTATTTATGTAACTTATTAAACATAATATTTGTTAACACTTACTATTTTGAATACTTGGTATGTTTTATGAAATTATCTTTATCCCCAAGGAATTAACTGACTATAGAAGAAAATACAAATTATATACATAAAGCAGTGAAAAGATATAAAGTTGAATATTCAGTAGTTAGACATTTTTGTAATAAAATTAATCTCTTCACCTGGTCATACCTGGTATAATTGTCGTTTTGGGGTTTTTTTTTTTTTTTTGGTCTCTGATTTATAAAAGGGTAAATCAAAGGCCACTATATCCTTTGGGAACCTAGAAGATTCAGTGTGTCATAAAAATGAGGTCTATAAAGTAACTCTGATAACTAAATATGCATTGCATCCAGATTCCTGAGTGGTCTCATTAGCTTCATCTGTTAGTCCCAGGGAGCATGCCCAATAAAGAGATTCAAGAATGTGCAGCCAGCTCGAAAACACTGAAACTGTGTATCATAGGGCAATTCTGTGGTGTCAGATAGAAGTGGGACAGCAGAATATCTTCATAGTAGTTACAAGTAGGGTTCCTACTGTCCCAGAGGACTGTAAATGCTTTAAATGATACAACATAGAGTAAAAAATGTATTATCAATAGTGATAATCTGTCAGTCTTGGAATAAACCATCAAATATAGGAATCTTATTAAATTGACTACCTAACAAGGCTGTCAAAAAGAGTGACTGTAGCTGTAATTCAAAGAGCTTTAGTCTTTTAAAACTTAAGCTGCATGCATGATAGAATTAATTTATGAGTGCCATTTGAATTTTCCTCTCAAATATGAACTTTTCTATAACTAATCATGGGAAGAGTTTATCTAATTCCAATTCTAAGCTTTTTTATTTGAATTATTTATAATACTAATATTTATATAGTCATGTAATGCATTTCTGCTATATTTAAATTAATTTAATAAGTTGCTTTACATTTCACATAGTAGTCTCATAATCCTACAATTAATTTGGTAGCATTATTTTTGAAAGTGTGGTAAAGATTTTATGAAAACCTGTTATGTCTAAGAAACTCCAGATAAAAAATATTCCTATACAGAAATTCTAATAATTGATGACAAATCATCATTTTTATTTTCCAGTAATTGAAAGTAATTTTCCAGGTATGTGTAAATATCTTTATGTATTTCATTTCAAAAGAAAAAATGATATGAAATATATAGTTCTTTAAATTTCATGCTGGGGGAAATTATTTAAAAGGAAAATGCTCCTTTTTATATTTACTTTGAACAGACATGGGTTGCTTTTTAGATACAGAGATTAATATTAAATACCTTTCACACTTTGGCTTCAAGACAAAAATGAACACATAGTAATAGTTCAGTTTTGGAATTTGGTCTGTATGCATGTATGTATATGTATGCGGAATGTAAGACCTTTTGATTTCATAATAAGCAGGGCTCAGGGACAATAAAATCTGACATTCTTAACTGCTTTTAGTATTTGTCCCTGTAGCCCTGTTCAGTTATCTTCTTGTTAATGACTTGGAAGCCAAAGTCATAAACTGAGCTTGTACCTAAGGCGCTACTGCAAATTGCAAATAGCTTTCATGTCTCTGATCTAAGAGAAGAAAGAGAGTAGAAGGAAGAGAAGAATGAATTTTGAAAGAATGAAAATAAGTCAGGGATAGAGAATACACTAGAAGGTCAGACATGTACAAATATCCCTTTAAGTTTTGCAGTGAAATTCATTCATATGGGCATTTTCATATCGGCAAATACTCCTTTGCTCAAAAGCCAAGGACTGGATTGGAACAGCCGTGGCTGTTGAGTGTGTGTGTGTGTGTGTGTGTGTGTGTGTGTGTGTGTGCGTGCGTGCACTCATGAGATAATACAAATAATCAGTGAGGAATAATTAATGATGTGGCAGGAAATATTTTTTGATAAATGCTTGGGGAATGAGGTGACAAGCGTGAAATTAGAAAATTCCTTCTGCAATCTAAAATATAAATAGCTTTTAGAACTGAAAAGAGTTTCACAGCTGAAGATTTTATTGTGTTGAGAGAAAAAACTTTTTTCTCTCCCCCACTCCCTCCTCCTTTGCAAGTTGTTTGTCCATTCACAAAACAAATACTCTGAAGCCCAGCGCAGCTCATGGGAATAAATTTCAGGTCGAATTAGTACAGTTTCCTTGCTGTCAGGATGCTGGAATTAATGGTGTTTTGATGACACGAATTTTGAAGGGCAAACAAAGAAGCTGAAGGGAGAGAGACATGACTCCTAAGAAGCTTGGTCCTCCTCTCCCCCAGCCTCTCTTGTCTTCCCTGTCATCCGTCTGCCAATCTCCCTGTCCATGGTTAGTTAAAGGCGCTTTTTATCCTCTTTTCTTTCCCACAGAGTTTGCCAGATCCGGCCCGGTGCCTGGGTTCCAGGAGGACACGCTGCAGTTGGCCTTCATCGACTTGAGACAAGTAAGTCTTTGTGTTTTTGTTTTTTGTTTTTCTTTTAAGATGTGTGACTGAAGACCATCAGGTCTTAAGGAAAAGGGGAGGGGAGAGGGATTGGCGTTGGCGATTCACACTGGAGACCTAAGGGTTTTTCCCTGTGTTTGAGGCCACCTCTTTTATTTAGCTATCTGAGATCCTTAGTTATGGTGGAGTTAAAGGTTTTGTGGGCAGAAGTGAAGGCAGGGGGTGGGAGGAGGGACCCAGGGAGTAGAGGGACTCAAGTGACCCTCAAGTGATGTGACTCATTGTGTTGTAGTTGGCTTCTGCAGACACAGCAAAAAGATAACTCATCAAGCCAAAACTAAGCAGGTGCACTGATGCAGAGATCGCCTGCTTGGAGAACTTTTGTTTGCTGATAATATGGCCAGCAGCATTGAAGAAAAATGAAATATTTTACTTTCTGGATTATTGGTTTGGTTCTTTGTCTTTTTTCTGCTGCCTTAAGTCTTCCCATTGCTTCCTTTGTAGAAAGTGGTCAGCCACAAGTGACTAAGTGGTCATTTTGAAGATGATTAGCAAAGATGAGTCATGCTAACCTGAAGGGCAGTGCTACTGAAGTAATGTGATAAAAACTGGTACTTAGGCATACCTGAGCTTGGCAAGCCCATTACATAGAGTCATTCTATAGCACTGTTTCTTATTGATTGAAATATTGTAGGTTGATAGGCCTTAGCAGTTTGGATATAGTGGAGCAGAAAGGGTGGGGCCCAAAGAAGGGAGAGAGTTAACTGGGCTCTGTCATCTCTTCACTCTGAAGATGGATGGGGTTGGATAGAAAGTGTGAATGAAGTAAGAATCAATGACTGATGCTTCTCTCCTATTAAACAATCTTTTTTTGTCTATTTTAAAAGGGGGGCTGTCTTTGTTTCTCCTGCCATAATGATGCAGTGCCTCTTGTTTTCAGAGCTGACATAGTTTGCATTCTGAAAACTTGTAGATGCCGAGGGTATTTCTTAAAGCTGTAGGATCCCTTGTATCGGTAGTCTCCTTACCACTGTGACTTGATTCATGCTGGAACAGCTTTTAACCCATAATGGATGGCCTGAGCTACCTCTGAATCCTTGTGGATGGCTGGTGTAATCTGTCATCTGATGACAATACTGGAAAGCCCTGTTAAGCAGAAAAGAAAATTGTGTGTATAGACCTACCAAATTTGAGGATTCAGGCCGCATCTTAGAAACGTGTGTCAACTTAATATTTGGGGGCCAGAGTGGGCATTCTCTTACACATAAAGGGTTTCCCAGAGTGATCATAAATGGAGCTATCTCTTCCCATACTGAAGATCTGTGATTCCACAATTCAACATATACACTCGAGTTTTAACTCTTTGGCTGATGTAAGATTGGGATTTTTGATTTAGGGTTTTGTGGGGTTGTATTATGTTGTATCTCTCCTAGGTTCTTCTTAGAAACGTCTAAGCAAATTGACTTCTTGGAATTTGAATTTCATGAAAGAAACATTTACAAGAAAAAATTTTTCCTCACTATTCATGAGAAGTAAGAACTGTGGTTATTGTTGCTAGTTTGTGGTTTAGCTCCCTATGGAAAGTGTTAACTAAGGGCATAAGTTAAAAAGCACAGTCAAAATAAAGTGGATCTGAGCTGGGGATGAATGCTCCATTATTTGTGGGCTCTTGATGAGCAACAGTGTCATTTATGCTTAAGTTCCTGTTTTCTAGTACGTTTCTGTCTCTAGAATTTCTTTTGTGATGTTTTAGTTGTAGAAACCAACAGCCCATAATTTTATTGACTGTGAAAGACTGTGCCTCTTCCTATTGAATCTATCCCTGAAAATCTACTTATGTCTTTTACTATTAAGTAGCATGAGGGCTGTATAACAGGTCTCAGGTAGGTTGAATCACTGTGAGAAAAATGATCCTGTCACATCCTGTCTTTTTGCAATTCATCTTAGTCATTCTCAGTGGGCATTCTTTTAAAGAAGATTTCTGAACTATAGACATGTTGAAACTACAAATAGCCTGGGAGTGTGTTTCTAGAGGTGATATCTTGACATCAAATGAGGCATGATTAAGTGCCCTTTTGCATATAGTCTTCAGAATACTAAAATAGAATTTTAAAATTTTGAGGTGGAGGCTAATATTAAAAAGCACACAATATTATCTTTGGCTTGTTTCTTGATTCTCTGCACAGCACCAGACCTATGCTTTAATATCATCCATGAAAAAAGACTCATTGCCCCAAACCAGCAAATTTCTCTGAGGAAAATATGATTGTTTGAAAAATATTTCTTAAAAATCTGTCTCACTTAATTTTGTCTCTTGGACTCTGTATTTTATTATTGCATCCTTAGTTGTGGGGTAGACTTTCTATTCCTGATTTATAGCACTTCCTATTTGTTAGAAATTGAGTCAGTTTTATGTGTAACTTTGTTACCCATTCTTCATCTACTCCTTATCTGGTTGATTTCATGGGCCACTCAAAGACTACTATCTTTGGCCCATATTTTTCTTTCAGATACATTATTTCATCATTCTAGAATGGCATGCCTATCTACTTTTTAGGTTCTTATTTTATTGCCTAGCTTATAATAACTGATTTAATCAGTATGCCTTTTATAAGTCATTGATAAATGTATTAGATGGGAACAAAAAACATACAGAAAGAAGTTTATTGAAGGGAGTATATATGATATTTGCTTATGCAGGAAGGGGCCTTGCCTCATTGCAGTGCTGCAACGATATGCTTTCTGTGGCGTTAGGTATATTTTTCTCACTGGTTTATCGGTATAGTCATTTTAATTATGCTTTCATCTTATCTTGCATTAGAGTTTCAGGCACTATCAATTCAATGATAATTTTCAAAATATTCAAATGTGACATATTTGATGAAATCATCTCTGCATATAATAGCAGAATGTCATTTAAAAACTAAACTTTCATTAGAAAGTGAATTAAGTGTGAATAGCAGCACTGTTCATTTTTTTCACCTGTTTTATTTTTTGCTTTCATACTCTTAAGGGGAAAAGTGAAATGACATTTTTAATATACAAGCTTTCATGATATTTTACATTTGTATAGCACTTCAAAGTTAAAGTATATTAATATACATATCTCATTTGTTTCATTTCTGGGTTTAAAAACCTGTTATTTATCACATGATTAGATGATATAAATCAAAATCTCATTTAACATTTTCTGTAGGATTGCAATAGTTTTATAGGCACATATCAAATATGTGTATATTTTTATTGAAATCCAAATTTGAATTAATGATAAAGTTTAAGAAGAACAAATTACAGCCTCATTTAATTTAATTACAGCCTCACCTTGAAGTGATATGTATATTCCAAGTACTAATCATTGCTAACATTTAGTGATTCATAGTGGGGAATTATAAAAGTCCAACAATAATTTCTGAGTTTTATATTCTTTAACAAGTTCTGTGGTTAAACCTTATTTGCTGATGAGCACCAGAATTTGATTTTTATTTCAGTTTATTTCATTAAACTCTGAGTGCCTACAATGTACAAAGCACAGTAAAAGTGCTATGGATAAACACAAATGAATATAATGTATAGCATAACATAATTTCTGCCCCTCCAAGAGTAAATAATTAAAAATCAAATGTTTGCTTCTAGTAGAAGACACACTATGATAAATATTACATTAAGAGATAAAGCCATTGTGTATATTTCAGCAGCTTTTGCTGCATAATAAGTCACCTCACAACATGTTAGTTTAAAATAAGAACCATTTCTTAAGCTTAAGTTTCTATAGCACACCAATTTTGGATAGGTTCAACTGTGTTCACTCATACTTTGAGATCAGCTGCTAGATTGATAGAGGACTGGCTGGCAATAGTATGCCTTAGTTAGGCCAACCCTTCTGTGTTCCATGTGATGTCTCATCTACCTGCAGCCTAATCCAGGCTTATTCACAGGAATCTAGGCAGAGTTCCAAGAGAACAAGAGGAAGTGTGCAAAGCCCTTGAGGCCTACAGTTGAAAGTAGGAAACCATTACTTATGCTACATTTTATACCCTAGAGCTAGTGACAAGTTCAGCCAAAATTCAAAACATGGGGCAGTAAATTCCCACATATAATTTAGCTCATGCATAAGATTTACATATAAATAATGCAAATCAGGAGAAGGAAAGAAGGGAGCCAACAACAGGAAAATAAGAGGACAGAGATAAGTCAGTATATATCAGTTATAACCATAAATGTTAATGGTCTCAATTCACCAATCAGAAGAAACAGACTGACAAAATGGTTCAAGAAGCAAGGTCCAACAATATGCTGCATACAAGAAACACATTTAATTTAAAAAGAAAGTCATAGACTGAAAGCCAAAAAATGGAAAACAGTATTTCATGCAATAGAACCTGGAGAAAAGCACCAGCAGCTTTTCTATTTGCAGACAAAGTGGACCTCAAGCCAAGACTATTTAAGAGAGACAAAGAAGGTCACTACTTTGAAAGAGATAACAATCATAAATATATATGCAACAAATAGCAGTGCACACAACTATATAAAACAAATATTAACCATGAAAAATCAAATAAATACTAATACAATTATAATGGGGGCCCTCAATACCCCAATGTCACAAATACAAAGATCAATGAGACAAAAATCAACAATGAAATATCAGAATTGAATCAAACTTTTGAACAAATGAACTTAATAGATGTCTGCAGAGTGTTCCACCCCACAACATTAGAATACATATTCTTCTCAGGAGCGAGATTGTATCTATAAGTGCAAAAAGAGGCCATAAAGTGAAGAAACTTTTGTGAGCATAAATAGTTATGAAATATTTAAAATGTCTACAGTTGAACTGAAAATTAGGCATTAATGAGTAAATTATTTCAAGTATAGAAAAATAGCAGATTTAAGTTGTTTTTTTAAAATGTGTGGAAGAGTGGCTTTCACTAGGATCTAGACTGTCCTCTTTGAAACCACTATTTCCTAATTTCTCTTATTTATTCCATATTTTCTACTGT